GAGACACCCCCTCCCCCAACAAAACAAGTCTATCTTGTTGTTTTAGACATAGGGATTACTATGTAATCTACACTGTGCCACCTAAAGCATGCATATGTTGCCAGTTGCTCTCTCTTTCTCTAATAAATGTCAAAGAAGATAAAAACACCTGACCAAGATTCTGCCTGTGAGTGTTGGACTTTTATTTTCCAAATGCAGTGTTCTGAAACCGCAAGCAATTCCATGTGATGCTCATGCATTAACTAAGCTGTCACTGTTTCTCTTTTAATAAACTCACATGTAGCTCATTTGACATCTTAACAAGCACAGAGGCACAGAAGAAGGAGGAAGACATGTGTTAGATTTATTTATTTATTTTGAGACAGGCTTTCTCTGTGTTCTGCCTGTCCTGGACCTCACTCTGTAGACAGACTGGCCTCAAACTCAGAGACCCACCTGCCTCTGCTTCCCAAGTGCTGGGATAAAAGATATGTACCACCATGCCTGGCTTTTATGCTTTTTTTTTTTTTTTTAACTGACCTATTCTCAGCTGTGAGCATGTCAGTTATGAGAGCAGCTTCTAGTCTTGCTATTTAGTTTCAGGGTTAGGGTTAGAGTGTAATCCCAACCGGCTGGAATAAAGATTTTCAATTGTCTATAAACTTGTTGGACCCCAAAATTTACGGTCTCAAGTGGGTGCCCCAAGAACCCAGACTCCAGTCCAGTTGATGAAAACGCAAGAGGATTTATTAAGCTTCTATATAGAAGGGCAAACCCCGCTCCTAAGAGCAAGAGCTGCATCTTACTGCAGCCCCATAAGGGCTTATAAAGGAAAAACCCACAAAACCCATAAGATTACAATTCCCATACAATTTCGTTTCACAAGATCATGGTCTGGGTACAGAGTGATCACAGAGGGGGTACAGTTATGTCAACAGGTACATTTTCCCTGAAACCTCAAGGGGGGATATCAAGGCGGGAGTGGAGTTTACACACAGGTCACGGTGGTCCTTCCTGGAACACCTGCAACTATCCCAGTCACAGTTGAGCACATCTCTTAACAGAAATCTCTTTACATTGTTATAGGTTGCAGGGGAGATTGAACAATGGCTAAGTCAGGTTGCCCTTGGAACTAGATTTTTAGTTTCTCATTTCCTGGTGCTTGAAGTTTCTCTTTTCCTGAGGCTTGGGGGTGTAAGCCTGAAGGACTAGGGTATTTCAAACTGTGTCTGAGTGATCATCCTGGTGGGCTCCCTGTAACAATCCTCTCAGAGGTAAAGTCTAGAAAAATTTGTTTTGTTTCTTAAATTTATTTTTTTTTTATACTTGGACTTTAGGTTTAAAAAATAGACACAGAAACAATTGCTCTTATGTAGTCCAAAATGACCCAGAACACATTCACACATACACTTGAGCATTTTTTAAAGGCTTTCCAATTGTGATTACCATCTTAAAATGAATCTTAAAAAAAAATAAACAAAGGGCTGGAGAGCTGACTCAGCAATTAAGAGCACTGGCTGCTCTTCCAGAGGACCCAGGTTTAATTCCCAGCACCCACACGGCAGCTCACAACTGTCTGTAGCTCCAGTTCCAGAGCATCTCAACCCCTCTTCTGGCTTCCATGGGCATTGGTGTGCAAGTGGAGCACAGACGTGATGAACGAGAAACAGAAGGAAAGGAAAGGATGTGACTGCTCCGAGGTGTGGTGGAGGCAAAAGTTTACTGTAGCTATGTCAGAGGCAGGGACATCTGGGAGAATCCAGAGTGGACATGACCCTGAGCCATAGGAAGGGAGGGGAGGGGGAAGGAGAGGGGAGAGAGGGGACCAGGTGCAGCAGCTAAGAGGGCAAAGAAAATACCAGGTAACCAAAATGGCTGGATTATATAGGGAAGGGCGGCTGGGAGAAGGGCAGCCCAGCCCCGGGCCTGAAGAAGTTTAGGGTAGGGGGTGGGGTATGCCAGCCAGCAGGGCCCTGTAACAGGTAGGGACTGAGGGATGCAGGGAGAACCTGGTGGCCAGCATCTGCTCTGATATGTTAAATAGGCACCTCAGCCATTCGTGCTGGGTTGGAGACCTAACACATACATGCAGGCAAAACATTCATATACATACCATTTTAAAAATAAATAAGTAAATAACTTTTAAAATTCAAGAGTCTGGTGTGGTTCCTGTTAGAAATAAGTTCCAGGGGCTGGAGAGATGGCTCAGAGGTTAAGAGCACTGGCTGCTCTTCCAGAGGTCCTGAGTTCAATTCCCAGCAATCACATGGTGGTTCACAACCATCTGTAAGGAGATCTCGTGCCCTCTTCTGGTGTTCAGGCATACATAATAATTAAATAAATCTTTAAAAAAACAAAACTCTACTTAAAAAAAGAAAGAAAGAAAAGAAAAGAAATAAGCTCCAGACCTCAAAGAAAGAGACCACCACTCCAGCTGAAGTGTCTGGACAAGGCAAACTTAACTCTTGATCAACAGGGCGTGCTCAGAAGAGTGAACACATGGAGAAAGGAAGTAAGTACGTTTATGGTTGTAAGTTAATAGATTCCAAAGATTTAAAAAAGTATATTATTTATTCTTATTCTTTGTACATTGGTATTTTGCCCGCATGCATGTCTATATGGGGATGTCAGATCTTGGAGTGACAGACAGTTGTGAGCTGCCATGTGGGGGCTGGGGATTGAACCTGGGTCCTCTGGAAGAGCAGTCAGTGCTCTGAACCACTGAGCCATCTCTCCAGCCCCTCTGGCTATCTTATTCCTACAGTGCTCCCCTTCCTATCTGTCATCCTGTCAGGGTTCTATCTAGCTGCTAACCCCTCAGTTGACACCTCACTTCTTCCAGAAGCACTTTCCTCAGGGCCAAGTTTCTCACTAACACATTCTCCCCGTCTCTAGGGCTGGGATGCAGTGGGCCACACAGGAAGCACAGGATTGTGCCTTTCCACTGCTCCTGGGTAGACCCTTTGCTCTGAGACCCTGGTGCCCACTGCTGCTCCCTCGTCTCAGCTTCTGCCCAACATCCCTTCTTGCAACAGAGCCCTGGGTAGCCACATCCTTCCAACGGCATCCCTGAGACCAGAACCTGGTTATGACCCTCTCGCTGGCCAGTCTGTGGTCCCTTTGCTAAGAGCTGCACCCCACCTCCATATGGCTCTTTCTGATCCTATCACTGGATGAGACAATGGTGGCCTCATTGTTGGTATGATAGTCATCCAGGCATTTCCCGTCAGGGTCTGATGCCCATATTGTCTTCTTACTGACGTTGGACATGTTAATAGTGTTTGAGGAAGCCAGGGTTCAGGGTTCAGGTTTGAGGTAGCTGTGGATCACCTGTGTCCAGTTAGCATATAAATCCTGCCTCCTGCTCAGGGGGTGTGGGAATCGTCTGCCCTGCTTTCATCTGAGAAATACTTCTGCCACTGAGTTCCCAAGAACCTGTGTCCTTGTCAGTTCTGGGCACGCCCGCCCCTGTTGAGGGCCTCATAACACCTGTGGCCAGTTCTTATATGGGGGGACCAGGTGTTTCAGGAACCAAGGTGAGTCCCCAGCCCGGCTCTGAGCTGCCTCTGAGAGTCCCTATGGAGGGGCAGGTGGGTGTCCTGATCCTCCTGTGTGGACAGTAGGGATGCCACAGGGAGTCAGTTACTGACAAATTCCCAGCTGAGGTCCAGAAGCTTCCTTTGACATCCTTGTTTTGGCCACAAGATGGGTGAGGTGGGATGTGTCTGTGGCGGGACTGGGATCATCCTAACGGGACACTGTGGATATGTGAAATGGGAGAGCCCCCGAGTTTGGCAGCACCCTGGCTTCTACTTAGTGTGTGCCAGTGGCGTCACCACAGGCTCCAAACCAGAAACGCCCACAGATGGGGGCAGATGTCTCCGTGGGGCACACTCCCCTGGCTGTGACGTGCTGGGCTGGGGATGGGATCCAGGTGATCTGTGGGTTCCTGCCAGGAGCACAGAGCTTCCAGAGCCAGGCTAGCTAGGCATCTCTTTGACCCAAGAAGGGCAAATTGCATTGTAGAGCCGGGAGTGGAGCAGGCACGGGGCCTGTCCTTGAGTGTGGAGGTCCCCTGGGACTGCTGCAATGCCTTCGACCACCCAGACACTCCAGCAGTCAGCCTAAGACTTCAGGCAAATGTGTCGTCTAATTGGTCCACCAACAGGAGAGCTTGGCTTGGCCAACTGTAGACTCCAGGCAACATCTGTTCTTGGATTTGACAGCAAAGTTTTTCACAGCAGCCACAGTCCTGTGGGGGTCCCTGACCAGCACGGGGCTCCTAAGCCTCAGCTGCCCACTGAAGCAGCAGGGACACCCTTGCAGAATGCCCTGGGGCAGTTTCTGCAGGATGCACTGTGTGGTGCTGGACACCCCAGGTCCCACAGAGGAGCCCTAGGCCTCAAGTGCCTTGTGGCATGTGTTGGGTACGGCCATGTGTCCCCGGCATGGGGGAGCTGTTCCACTCAAGTCTCAGAGTTCACTAGATGGAAGGGGGATTGTCTCACCCATAAAACACAGGCTGTGTCAGGGAGGGATGCCTGGCCCTTCTGAGACACCAGCCGGAGCCACAGCCCTCTTCTTCCCGACATTCCTGGTGATGTTCCTGCAGGCAGGTGGTGACACCCATGTAACCTTGGTGACAAAGGACTTCAGGTCCCTGAGCACGGGTCACCAGCCCCCTCCCATCCTTCTTGAGGTCAAATGCCACTTCCTCCCAGCTCTTCCTCCAAGCAGAGGCCTGGCCAAGCCCCCTGCCCACTTCCTGGGGCTTGAGGATAAAGGAGCTGACAGGCCCAAGCAGGAGGAAGCTGTGGAGACTTTGGCATGGTAAGGGCATCACCCTCTCCTTTCCCAGACGCCTCCACTGGCTTCGGATTTCAATGCTCTCCATCCCAGCCTAGGCAATCCAGTCCCCTCCACGCCTTTCCATGCCCAGAATTGTGCTCCAGCCCTCTCCATCCTGATCCCGGCTACTCCCAGACCCCTCCAACTCCCTGCCCCTGTGCTTCTCTCTCCAGATGCTGGGCCTGCTGTGTATGACCCTCTTCTTTATTGGGTGCACCACTGCTGGAACCCCAGGTGAGTCCTCCCCCCACGTCACCCTTTCCTCCTACACTGGTCCCATAAAGCCCTGTCCCTGGGACCCTTGGGACGCATGCACGTGTGAGCTGCTCTCCTGCAGGGTGGGTGGCAGGCTGAGCGCTGCCCCTCCCCCACCTTCTCCTTGTTGCTTGCAGAACCCCTGTCTGAGGATGTGCCGGTGGGCATCGTGGGGGGCCACAGCGCCCCCCAGGGGAAGTGGCCGTGGCAGGTCAGCCTGAGGATCTACAGCTACTACTGGACCTCCTGGGTGCATGTGTGTGGGGGCTCCCTCATCCACCCACAGTGGGTGCTGACTGCTGCCCACTGCATCCACCAGTGAGTTCCTTTGCCCTCCAGTGCCGGGTAGGATGAGGGGTAAATCAGCAGGGCCGAGCCAACATGGGGCTTCAGTTGATTCTGTTCGGGAGGACCTCCCCACAGTACCTAGAATATGGACTCACAGCTTCTTTCTGACCTCAGGAGAGATGCTGACCCTGCATCCTTTCGGATCCACGCTGGAGATGTGTATCTCTATGGGGGCAAGGAGCTGCTGAGAGTGAGCCAGGTCATCGTCCACCAGGACTATGTCCACGCTAGCCTGGGGTCAGACGTGGCTCTGCTCCGGTTGGCAGAACCTATGCGGTCCTCTGCTAATATCAAGCCTGTCAAGCTGTCCTCTGGGTCTCTTGAGGTCACCCAGAAGGATGTGTGCTGGGTAACCGGCTGGGGCGCAGTGAGCATGTACAGTAAGTATTGGGGAAGGATTTGAGCCGTGGGAACAAACTTGCCATCTGAGGGTTCCTGGTGGGTGATACCCAGGTCCTGGGAGCAGGATCCAAAGAGGAGAGATAGAGCTGTTGACAAACACGGACTAATCTGGCCGCACCTCCAAGCTGCTCTAGACATCCATCGGAGTCTCTGTACCCGAGGCCAATGACACAGTTGGGCCCAGGATCCCACGACTCTGAGGTAGAATGGTTGCTACTTACTTTCCAACTAACAATAAAGCATTTTGGAGAAAATGCCAGAAAACAAACCCATTTGTTTGGCCCTTGACAGGCAAGCAGACAGAATTCATGTGTAGAAGTCCTAGAAGTTATAAGTGAGCGTGGACCCTTCAGGCTGTCATCCACACATTCTTTTCCAGAAGGGGGATGCCGAGGCTCAGAGATGGAGCTGGACTTGGAATGGGATGGAGCCATGCTCGAGATAGGCCTCCTCTCTGCTCCCAGGTGGAGCAGTAGGGTTGTGGGATGGGCAGGGGAGTCTATGCACCAGCAGCCACATCTCTCTTCTCCCCAGGGTCACTGCCCCCTCCCTACCGCCTGCAGCAGGTGCAGGTGAAGATCGTGGACAACGACCTTTGTGAGGAGCTGTACCATAACGCCTCCAGGCGCCACAATCGTGGTCAGAGACTGATCCTACAGGACATGTTATGCGCAGGCAGTGAAGGCCGAGACTCCTGCTATGTGCGTCCCATCCACCACCGCCCTCTCTTTCCCCATTCCCACAGCAGGGCCAATAACCATCATTGCTTCTTTTTCTTACAGGGTGACTCAGGCGGTCCCCTGGTCTGCAGGGTGGCAGGCTCCTGGAACTTGGTGGGCGTGGTGAGCTGGGGCTATGGCTGTGCCCTGAGGGACATCCCTGGGGTCTATGCACGTGTGCAGTCCTTCCTGCCCTGGATCACCCGGCAGATGAAGAGGTTCTCCTGAGCCCAGCTGCTGGCCTCATGCTGGTCAGCTGAGGATGGGTCGGCTTTGATCACCATTCCAGGGGTTAGGCTCTGGAGTGTTGGTGCCCAGTGCGCTGAACACTAGCTACTGAAGGACATGGCTCTGTTTCCTGGCTTCCTAAATAAAGATGTGATGCACATTCGTGTTCAAGTTTTTGTATGAATACAAATCTAGTTTTCTCTAGTGGAAACACCTATGGGTGCTGTTCTGATCGTTTTCTAGACAAGGAAACCAAGGCCTGTACTCACCAAAGGTGGGACTCAGGCAGGTCTGCATGTGTTCCCCAGTCACCCTGAATAGTTATCAGGCTGATTCTTGTCTCTCAAGCACCTAACATCCCTAAGCATCCTGGAATCTGGATATGGTGACATTGTGCAAAGACAGAAAAAGTGACAATCCCTGATATCCAGCCTTGGGACAATGATACTCTGACCCTCATCAATGTCACCATGGGGCCAGGAGACTGCTGCCATGTTGACATCCTTCCTGTACCTCATTCTTTTTAACCCCAGGACCCTGTAGACTCAGTTACCCAGTGTGACTAAGGTTATTTTCAGGGCTTGGGCTGTTGCCTTGAACTACGCACAGTGGCAGCTGTCTAATGCCCAGGGTGAAGGTGAGGGCCAACAGCTACCCGGCCTCCCTCACAGAGCAGTTCTGACCCAGGGTGCATGGTGGGGAGGGCTTGGTAGAGAGGGGCTGACTAACTCTTTTCACTGGGAGCAGTAGGAGAAGGAGGGTGGATTGGGTAGGAAGCATCTACTTCAGACTCAGACGGGACTGTCCTTTCATCCAGAGGCTCCACCTAGGAGCTGGTAGTCTGCAGAGATCATCCAGGTGCGTAGGGCAGTGAGTTGCACTGACCTTTGTGACTTGTAGGAGATGGGAGGGGCCTGGCGAGTGCTAAACTCAGATGAGATTCATTTCAAGGGGTCAAGGGTCAAGAGGGAATGGAGGAGGCTCTGCCTGGGGCTCTGCTGAGTCTGGAGGGGGAATCAGGATTGCAAGGGAGATCTTAGGTCCTGAGGGGCTCCCAGCTTGCTGAGCAGGGTCCCAAGGCAGGCCAGGCCTGGCCTCTGTTCCTCTGAAGGGAAGCAGGTGCCTTTAAGATGGCTTCTTTCCCTTTCTTGCCTGTAGCTGGGCAGAGCAATGAGAGAGAGGTGGTCACTCCAGGGAGACCTGATTCCCATGGCTCCCACAGGCCTCTGGACAGTGCCACTGTCCTCAAAGGTACCACATGCTCTCTAAACACACACACACACACACACACACACACACACACACACACACACACCCCAGCCCGTCAAGAGCAAGACCTGCCCTGTGCTTCCAGCACCTCCCCAGGACAGGGAGGGTGGAGGAAAAAGGCTTTTCTGTAGCACACAACTTGGGTGACATTGCTTCAGGGTCAGAGAGCAAAGGGCGGGAGAATCTGGACTCTGGGGACTCTGGCTGTCCCATGGCTCCCAGGATGCTGGAACTGTGTTGACCCAGCCCTTTCTCTTGTAATTCCCCCTTCCTGGGGGTGCGGAGGGGGTCCTCAGGCCCCTGAGAGGATGGGGTGGCCAGGGTGCCGGGGCAATGGGCACCTCTACTCTGACTGGTACAGTCTGGTTCCCCACAGCTGTGCCGCCCTGGTGACTTTTTCCTTTCTGCCTGTGATACACTGGGAGCCAGGGTCAGGGGGCTCTTTGAGCCCAAAGTCTGTGCCCCGCTGTGCTCCATGTGGCACTGGATACCTCATTCCTGCTGTGGCACTCAGTGTCTCTTGAAGTATTTTGTGTGGCTCATAGGACACTAAGATCTGGAGCAGGGAGCCAACACTTGCCAGCACTTCTAGCTGCCAGAAACGATACTAAAGGCGTCCTTCTGCCCTTCAGAAGAACATGTGAGCATATGAGCTCCCCGTTTACCTCTCAGGGTACAGAAATATTCCCTCAGTCTCTGCCCCAAAACTAGTGGTCACAAGTGAGCATGTGCGTGCGTGCGTGCGTGCGTGTGCATGTGTGTGTGTGTGTGTGTGTGTGTGTGTGTGTGTGTGTGTGTGTGTGTGTAAGAAGGGTGTATATGTGGGGCCAGAGGACAACTCGTAGGAGTCAGCTCCCTCCCCACCATGTGCGTCTCAGGGGTGGAACCCAGGCTGTCAGGGTTCACAGCTAGCTCTTGTATCTGCTGAGAGCCACCTCACCTGCTGTTCCCCACACACCCGGAGACAAGACCTTTTCGTTTGTTTGTTTGGTTTGGTTTTGTGTTTTTGAGACAGAATTTCTCTGTGTAGCCCTGGCTGTGCTGGGACTCACTCTGTAGACCAGGCTGGCCTCAAACTCACAGAGATCCGTCTGCCTCTACCTCCCAAGTGCTGGGATTAAAGGCGTGCACTACCTTGCCTGGCTCTGAGACAGGATCTTGCTGTTTGTACCTTTGGCTGGCCTGAAACTCACTGTGTAGACCAGGATGGCCTCAGACTTGTGTCTCAGCAGCCACCCTGGCACCTGATACAGGGTTTACTTCTCACTAAGTTTCACTGAGCAGCATTTGCCTGGAGGCTCAGAAACTTGATCACACTCAATAGACTCTGGAGGTGGAGGGAGGGGTGGGAAGGGAGACCCACCTCTCCTTCCTTTATAGGATGGCACTGGCTCCCAGAGAAGGTACCCTGGCGATATCCTGTTGTAACCACGCTCTGACCCCTATGAAATACTTTTGTCTCAACAGCCCTTACTGATGATGATGTAGTAGCTTCCCCCTGCAAGGAAGGCCCTGGCAGTCATCCTCGGAAAATGGGGTAGCAGGTATGTGGAGACACCCTCATCAGTCTTAGTGGGTGCCATGCCTTCTTCATGTCCAACTGAGTTCTTTTCCTCATACCCCAGGAAACCCCAGGTGTAGTATCCTCTGCAGGGGCATCTGGAGGTGCGGGGAATCGGTGCCTGCAAGGCGGTGCCCAGGGGCGCACACACTTAGAAGAGGGTTCTAAGTCTGATGGCTGCAGCTGTTGTTCCACACCTGCCTTTTCTCACAAATGGTTCAGGCCCTGTCTTGATCTACAAGGAAGGAGATGAGTTTTCATGAATGGCCACTGATGTTGGGGTGATTTGTTGTTGTTGTTGTTTTTCATTTTATTTTTCTGTTACAGTGTTAGGATTGGAAACCAGAATCTTGTGCACATGGACAAGCACTCTGTCGTGGACTTCTGTCCCAGTCTGACATCGTTGTTTTTTAAATAGCAAAATGCACTCTAAAAGATGAGAAAATTAAATGTAAAAGACAAGAAAATTAAATGGAGAAAATCATAATTGAATCCCACTGCAGTCTGTACAGAGATGTTTCAGCCAAGCCTGGTCATTCTCAGGGCTGAGCCAGTGTGTCCCAATGCCCTTGACAGGTGCTATTATGAATACACAACTGGCTGATCCCTCATGAAATCTTGGGGTAAATAAACCTTTTAAGATTCTATTAGTGTCAGAGCCCTTTCTGGAGTGTTCTTGGTAAACTCATTTTCAGAAAATAATGACCAATAATAACTCCTGGGACATTTCCTAGGGACACTCACTGTTTCACACTCACTGGGAACAACAAGTGAGATTGTCCCTGCACCCCAGATTAGGAATGGGGAAGATAATGGTTTCTCTAAGGCCACACACATCAGAAGACACAGACTGGGAACTAAGCACTGAGAATGTCAGCCCTGGACCTTTCCCCTGCTCACCTCTGAGCCTGATCCCATGAGAAGAGAACAGGACAAGTGTGGCCCTGGGCCCTGAAGACAAACAAGTCAACACAATGGCACTGGCTTTGTGAGGTAGAGCCGTCAAGACAGCATGGCCCAAGTGCCTTGCCCCTTCCCAGCTCATCTCAGTCCCGGGGACATCCTGCTCTGTCCCCAGCTCCCAGTCTAACTTCCCATTTGCTCAAGGCTCATCCTTAACATCCACCACGGCATCCTCCGTTGCTATCAGGGGTTCCCAACACACTGCTTGTGTACCACAGCTCCATCACCAGCAATGGAATTGTTCCTGCTCCTTCAACTTCACCCTGAGGATGCTGGGAACCAGCCAGCATCACATGGGACTAAGCAGATCTGATCGTATGGACAAGAGAAATTCCTTCTCCCTGGATCACCCAGAACTCAAGAGAACTTTTCAGGTCTTGAAAAAGTACTGTGCTTAACCTAGGCCCTGGCTTATCAACAATCCATGTTCTCCTCGAGCACAGGCTGGGATATATTTGGGGACACTGGAAAAACCTTGTTTGTGCCTCCAATCAGCTATAGTTTAAGTGTCCTGAGGACTCTGGTCATTTTACCCCGAGACAATGACACCCCAGTACTAGTCCCTTGTCCCAACTCTCCTCTTGCAACACCAGCCCTGAGCAACCACATCCTTCACCTAATGGCATCCCTGAACCCAGAACGTGGACAGGACCTCTCATTGGCTGGCTTGTGGCTCCTGAGCTAACGGCTACCTGACCCAACTCCTGTGGTCCCTAGTTCCCTCTGATCCTATCACTGGATGTGCTCATTCACGGTGGCCTGGTCCTGCCTCTATCAGGGTGGCCAGGTATCCTGCCCCCAGGTCTTGTTGCCTAACAGCAACAGCAGGACCACCAATGGGGGCCTCAGGTGATCTCACGCAGATAGGGCACCCTGGGCTTGCAATGGCCACAGGAAGCAGGAAATGGTTTCCCTTGAGTGAACCCTTAGGTCACTCCCTAGGTTTTGCTAGGTTCCTTGGAAGATGTAAGGGGCCCAAGCCTGAACTCACCTCCTGTCTGTACTCCCAGGCAACTGCACAGATGGACATCCCTTGTCTCAGAGGACCTGTTTCTCCCTCGTTTGCCGTCCCCAGTCCGGTTTGTTTTGTCATTTGAGACAGGGTCTCACTATGCAGCCTTGGCTAGCCTGGAGCTTACTATTTAGACCAGACTGGCCTTAAACTCACAGAGATCCACATGCTCCTGCTTTCTGCTGGGATTAAAGGTGTGTGCCACCACACCTGGCCAGCTGTTCCCAGTCTGGATGGTCCATGCAGGTTTGGAGGCTACTCCACAGCAAGGCTTCCTTTCAGGTTGAGATTCCCACATCACAGCCCTGCTTTGCTTCTCTGCCCCAGTGTGAGGGTCCCAGAGCCAAACACTCCATGCCCCGATGCTAGGCCTACACTACTCTCCCAAGTACCCTGTGTTGTTGCATTTTAAAAACGACCGGAAGGAGTCACATCATACAACAGGGCCCATGTAGGAGGTTTATTGAGGGGAGGGTGGATAAGGGGCAGAGGAGGTGAGCCGAGACCGGTCCCTGGGGATGAGAGCAAAGGAAGAGAGAGAGAGAGAGAGAGAGAGAGAGAGAGAGAGAGAGAGAGAGAGAGAGAGAGGTGTACAAGGCCTGCTTTTTATAAGGAAATGTAGCGAATGCACACGGGGGGTGCTCTTAGTGGCCACAGCTGAGGTATATCCTGTCAGGACCCTAAGGGCAGACCAGTACAGATGCCTAAATGCTAACATCCTGACCACCCTGGGGCCCCTGGGCTCACACTGTCCCCATGCACAGACGCTCTGTACCCTTAGCGTAAGCACTCAGGACTTGCTCTCACTGTGCGAGGACACGGCCCGATACGAGTCTCCCTTGCTTCCTCCATACTCCCCAGATGCAGACAGCCCTGAGCGATTGGACATGCCGTTTCAGGAGCACTGCCCAAAACTCTAAAGCCCACTCTGGTCTTAGAGCTTGGAGACATCAAGGACTGAGCAGGGACTGTCATTGCTTTCTGGGTCATCTCGGGAAAAGAGCAGGGACGTGTTTCCCCCCCATGACTGGTGGGGCCCTTTCTGGGAGAGGGTATCATGGTGGCTGAAAAAGAGGAGGCTGGCCTGGTTCTTAGGGGGCTGGTGTGCCCACACGAAGGAGCCTCATTCTTCTGCGTAGTGCAGGGGAAGGAGCTGATGCTTTCAAACCTAGGAATCTGACCCTCAGTATGGGGGCCTAGGCCCCTTAGCTTCCCATATGGGGCCTTGAACTTTCCCCAATGTTCCAAAGCTAACACTGTAGGTAAAACAACTGCCAGAGGACCAGGTGGTGGCGCACACCTTTGACCCCAGCACTTGGGAGGCAGAGGCAGGTGGATCTCTGTGTTTGAGGCCAGCCTGGGCTATAGAGCGAGTTGTCAGCCTGGTCTACAGAGCAAGTCCTGGGATAGCCAGGGCTACACAGAGAAACCCTGTCTTTATCCCTCCGCCCACCAAAAGAAAAGAGCTGCCGGAGGCTGGGAGTGGGTAGAGTACTTGCCTAAAATGCTTGAGGCCCCAGCAATGCATAAAACCAGCCATGGTGCTGCACACCTGTAATCCCAGTACTTGGGAGGTGGAGAGGTAGAGGCAGAAGAATCACAAGTTCAAGGTTATCCTAGGCTGCATACTGAGCTCGAGACCATCTTGGACTACAGAGAACCCACCCACATTTTCCTCACATACAGAATTACTGACCACAAATTGGGAGAGCTTTCCACCAGAGCCCATGCTGGCTCCAGGGCACATCTGATACCAAGATTTGTGGAGGAAACACAAGAAAGAGTTACTGGTGGCGGGATGTGAATGTGGGAGTTGCTGGCAAGCTTCGGGATCCTTGGGCTTCATACTCCCAGCTGCTGCAAAGAACGGGTCCTGGGTTCAACGCCACAAGCTCTGCCTACAGGTGTCTACGACAGCAAGGTTCTCAGCCACTCAGGGCAGTTTTTGAGACGTGTACTTGGGGCCTGTGTTCTAGACATGGTAGGCCCAGGAGGAGTCCTGGGCAGAACTTCCTGTGCTGTCAATAGCATGGCTACATGCGCCTGGCATGGGGGAGCTGGTTTACCCGGGTCCGAGTGTCACCTACAGAGCTGCAGAGGGTTATCTTCCCGGGACCCTCATGGTGCTATGGGCCGGACTGAGGCCAGCACCAGTCTAGGCTGCAGCCCCCCTCTTCCAAACTTCCCCACGACGCTGCTTTGAGCAGACAGCGATACCCCTGTGACAGTTACTCTGGTGCCTGGACGCAGGGAAGGACAAGATCCCCAACAGTCCCTGCCTGAGGTTAAATGCCACTTCCTTCCAGGCCCTCCTTGAAGCAGAGGTCTGGCCAATCCTGCCCACATCCTGGGGCTTGAGGACAAACGGGCCGAGAAGCCTTGGCCAGAGGGAGCAAGAGGCCTGACATGGTACGGGCAGCATCCTCTTCCCTCCCAGATGTCCTCGCGGGGCTCCAGGTGCCAGTCTTCTCCATCCCGGGCAAGCCTGGCTTCCTCCATGCCCTTCCATGCTCCCATCTTCTCCCAGATCCATGCAGGGGCTCCGGCCCTCTCCATCCCGATGGAAGTCAGTCCAGCCCCCTCCATATACTCTCTCTCTGTGCTCACTTCGGCAGCACATATACACATACTCTCTCTGTCTCTCCAGATGCTGGGCCTGCTGTGCATGACCCTCTTCTTTGTTGGGTGCACCACTGCTGGAAACCCAGGTGAGTCCTCCCCCCACGCAACCCTTTCCTCCTACACTGGTGCCATAAAGCCCTGTCCCCGGGACCCTTGGGACACACGCATTTGTGAGCTGCTCTCCTGCAGGGTGGGCAGCAGGCTGAGCGCTGCCCCTCCCCCACCTTCTCCTTGTTGCTTGCAGCACCCCTGTCTGAGCATGTGCCGGTGGGCATCGTGGGGGGCCACAGCGCCCCCCAGGGGAAGTGGCCATGGCAGGTCAGCCTGAGGATCTACAGCTACTACTGGACCTCCTGGGTGCATGTGTGTGGGGGCTCCCTCATCCACCCACAGTGGGTGCTGACTGCTGCCCACTGCGTCCACCAGTGAGTTCCTTTGCCCTGCAGTGCCAGGTAGGATGAGGGGTAAATCAGCAGGGCCGAGCCAACATGGGGCTTCAGTTGATTCTGTTCGGGAGGACCTCCCTACAGGACCTAGAATATGGACTCACAGCTTCTTTCTGACCTCAGGAGAGATGCTGACCCTGCATCCTTTCGGATCCACGCTGGAGATGTATATCTCTATGGGGGCAAGGAGCTGCTGAGAGTGAGCCAGGTCATCGTCCACCAGGACTATGTCCATGCTGGCCTGGGCTCAGACGTGGCTCTGCTCAGGCTGGAGAAACCCCTGGACTGCTCCGCTAACATCAAGCCTGTCATGCTGACCTCTGGGTCTCTTGAGCTCACCTCGAAGTACCCATGCTGGGTGACTGGCTGGGGCATGTACCACATGTATGGTATGTGTCAAGAAAAGATCTGGGCTGTGGGAACAAACTGGTCATCTGAGGATCCCTGGTGGGTGGCACTGAGGTCCTAAGGAGCAGGATCCAGAAAGGGGAGAGAGATCTACTGATGAATACAGGGCATCTCAGACTGTTTCCCCCCAAACACTTTAGACGTTTCATAGGAGCTGTGTATGGCATGGCTAGGCCCAGAACCCAAGACTAAGAGGAAAAGGCCCTCTTTCCTCCTATCCCCCCATTTCCCCCCACTTCTCCTCCGCTTCCTCCTCCTCTTCTGGGAAATACTAGAACATCTGGTTCAACTCTCTTTGGTTCTTGAAGTATAGGCAGATAGATTTTTGTTACATTATTTATGTATGGGGGAGGGGGCATGTGTGTCATGGCATTCATGTGGAGGTCAGGGATGTTCTTGCAGGAATGTTCTTTCCTTCTGTAAGTCCCTGGGATTGAACTCAGGTCTTCAGAATTGGCAGCAAGTGCGAGTACTTCTACCTACGGAGCCATCTTGCCAGCCCCTATAAGCAGACAGAATCCATCTTCAGCCTCCTAGATGTTGGACATGGACCTTGCAGATTGGTGTCTCCGACACACACTGCTCTAGGCATGGACTCGGATAGGGCTGGAGCTTCTCCCAGCTCCTAGGATGAGCGGTAGGGGAGTGGACAGGTGGGAGCTAGGCATCACCAGCCCTACTTCCCCTCTCCGCAGCATCGCTGCCCCCTCCCTACCGCCTGCAGCAGGTTCGGGTGAAGGTCGTGGACAACGCCCTCTGTGAGCAGCTGTACTGTGGGAGCCCGTTCTGGGGTTCCTCGTGGCTTTACCCAGCAGGTCCGAATAGAGGATGATCAGGACCACGGGCCTGAGTGCAGGTGTCTGAGA